AAAAAATTTTTTGGAAAAAAAAAAAAAAAAAAAAAAAAAAAAAAAAAAAAAAAAAAAATAAAATAATAGAAATAATATCAATTATAGGTATAAAATTTAAAATTGACATATGTTTAAAGAAACTCAGAATTAATAGGATAGATAATAAGATAATAATATTAATTATAACTATAATAAATATATTATTGCAATATATTAACAATAGTGTTTATCATCAAAAATTGAAATATTTTCTTGGAAATTTTGCAAAACATCGTGTATTTCAATTTTATCGATGAATCGAATGTTTATGGTGATTCATTTAGGACATATATTTTTTTAATCATAATTTAAGATAACAATTTATCATTTATGTTTACTGTATAATCTTTTTATTTTAGTCAATTAGCAAAACATTTTCGAGTGCAGAAAAGTAGGACGTAAATAATTTTTTTCATTTTATTTCTAAATCATATAGAGTTGTTCGAAAGATCCGTCGGAGGGTTCAGTCTCTTAGAACAGTTAGAATTTAGCACAAAACCTGTTTCGTCATATGTAATAAATTACTTACTGCAGGAAGAATAGCAAGATGAGTAAAGTCATTCAATGTAACATAACGGTAACAAGGTAACCCAGTATCGACTTCTGTATCATTGGCCATACTGATTCCACCTGAAATTAATAATCAAAAAAATAGTTTTTAATTAGTACTTAGTAAATGAAAGGAAGAGATGTATGATTTATCATCCAGGAAAAAGTGATACAGAATGAAAAATTTTTAACATTACCCTTTTTTTCCAAATAAATACTGTTTTATATGTTTTTTAAACCTTACGATATAGTAAATAATAATAGCTGTCTTGTAATTAATCAGTAATAATAAACGTTACTGGTTGTCTTGTACGATATAGTAAAAAATAATAGCTATCTTGTAATTAATCAGTAATAATAAACGTTACTCGTTGTCTTGCACGATATAGTAAAAAATAATAGCTGTCTTGTAATTAATTAGAAACAGTAAACGTTACGCGTTGTCTTGTGCGATATAGTAAAAATAATAGCTGTCTTGTAATTAATTAGTAACAGTAAACGTTATTCGTTGTCTTGTACGTAAGTAAAAAATAATAGCTGTCTTGTAATTAATTAGAAACAGTAAACGTTACGCGTTGTCTTGTACGATATAGTAAAAATAATGGTTTTCTTGTAATTAATTAGTAACAGTAAACGTTATTCGTTGTCTTGTACAATATCGTAAAAAATAATAGTTGTCTTGTAATTAATTACTTACAGTAAACGTTATTAGTTGTCTTGTACGATATAGTAAAAAAATGTAGCTGTTTTGTAATTAATTACTAACAGTAAACGTTATTCGTAGTCTTGTACGATATGGTAAAAATAGTAACTGTCTTGTAATTAATTAGTAGCAATTAAAATTACGCGTTGTCTTGTACGATATAGTAAAAAATAATAGCTGTCTTGTAATTAATTAGTGACAGTAAACGTTATTCGTTGTCTTGTACGATATAGTAAAAAATAATAGCTGTCTTGTAATTAATTAGTAACAATAAACGTTAATCGTTGTCTTGTGAATAGTCCTACAAACGACGAAAAATAAATACTTTATTGTTGATTTGTAAATAGTGAAAAATAAATACGTAAGTTTTCTTAAAAATAGTGAAAAATATATACACAAACACAAAAAGCAAAATAGGAAAGAAAAGTAAACCTCAATGACTCACCTAAGAAACTGTTTTAATCCGATATTCTGAATCCGGTATTTATTTTTAGAATGACATGATAAATAAAACTCGGTCATTGATCGCTGCATTATATATTAACTTATCACTATGATTTAATCAAACGATAAACTACATAATGATGCAAAAATTGTTTACATTTGTCATGTCATTGAAACATGCCATTTTTATATGACATGCTCCACATTTCATCTTACTGTCGTTGCAAAATAGTTGGTATATCGAATATCGCCTAGTTATTCAAAGTAAATATGACTAAAATCTTCCAAACAGTGCTGTTAGTCAAAACAGTACTGATTGTCTAACATTTTGCGTTGATGAATATATACATACAAATACATGAAGGAAATTTCAAACGAAAATGCCATCTGTAAAAATAGATTTCAAAGTGATAGTGTATGCCCATGTTTATATATATATATATATTTTTTTTAATTTCTCGACTCATTGCACACTGCATGACGTTGCCCTTCTTGATGAACATCTAATATTTTTACATGCGCAAAAAATTTCATTCATTATATAACTGTGACAATTTTATTTTTATCAAAAGATGAACTACATATCAGATCACGGTTAGTGATTAGAAATACTCTATATATATTTTTTTGTTTATTTTTGAACCCTTGAACATTGAACAATATATCAAACGCAATTTCAACAATTTATAATTGCAGTCTCCCATTGTTTGTATTTACGATATCAGCGACAGATTTGTGCCCCTTACAAATAATTAGGTAACACTGTCTGATTTTCTTTCTACTTACAACCACAAAGTAACAATGTCTGATAAGTTTTCAAATTACAACCAAAAGTGACAATGTCTGATTTTTTTCTACTTACGACCATGGAGTGACAATGTCTAATTTTCTTTCTACTTACGACCATGGAGTGACAATGTCTAATTTTCTTTCTACTTACGACCATACAGGGACAATGTCTGATAAGTTTTCAAATAACGACCATGAAGTGACAATTTCTGATTTTCGTTCTACTTACGACCATGAAGTGACCATGTCTAATAAGTATTCAACTTACGACCACGAAGAGACAATGTCTGATTTTATTTCTACTTAAGACCATAAAGTGACTTGTTTTCTCTCAACCTGACGACAATGTTAACCGAACGATTAAGAAACGACATCTTGTTTTATTTCGGCCATTTGACAATGAAGTGACAACGTCTGTTTTCTTTCAACATAACGTCAATGTAGTGACATTGTCTGTTTTCTTTCAACATAACGTCAATGTAGTGACATTGTCTGTTTTCTTTCAATATAACGTCAATGTAGTGACAATGTCTGTTTTCTTTCAACATAACGTCAATGTAGTGACATTGTCCACCTGTTGTTACTTACTTGTTCTATAGATGGTGTAGTCATGATTCTTGTCTTTCTTTTGCTAATTTGCTTCGCTTAAATTCGAGATGGATAAGCCTATTCTACTTTTTTCCCGCGCTCCGAACACGTTCGAAATTTTCATTGGTAGATTTATTTACTCACCGCGCATGTTGAACAGTGTAGGCCTTTTCTTATCTTTTGTTAGCCTTTTCAACACTCTACTAAAAGCTAATAGTTGTCTGTCAACAGTCAACAGTCAACTGTTGTTAGTCTTTGAAAGGGGCTAATAAGACAAATAATTTTCTCTTTGAGAGAGCTAATTTTACAGGATCGGGTGCATTGTCAGTTTTCTTTCAACATAACGTCAATGTAGTGACATTGTCGAGGTATCGATTTCTCTCTCTCTCTCTCTCTCTCTCTCTCTGTGGGTATCTTTGAACCATTTGGGTCGCGGCCTTTCACTTGTGACCACAAGCATGAGACCAATGCGAGGAAAACTAGATCTACTTCTTGATTTGAAGGTCATGTGTAATCCTCCAATATCTTTCTAGATAAGTCCGCGCAAGATCTAAGCTACTAAATGATGTTCAAAGCTACAGCTAATTCTGCTGGTGCTTCGATCCCAACATAGATCGAGCATTTTCAAACCAGTTCCCCATGTCAGTGTTGCCGGTCGGGGGTTCTGACATAGAAAAAGCGTCTTATTGCTCGGATGGAGCAGTAAATCGAAATCTGGGACTTTAGGCTGTGCATCAGATCGATGGACTATTTCAAATAAATCCCTACTCATTATGAAAAATTGTCTTATTATCATGTGATATTAACCAACAGACCAAAACGGAAATTAACATTGGCTAAAAATTAGTGTATCATACGCATGTAGAAATTAGGAGTCAATCAATGTTACTCTGGTGTTTTGAGAGTGCATTACTACTTGGACTTCCTTTGGGGCATAGGTGTTTGTCCCTCATGAACCTCTTGAAAGGTGATTGGTGTATGACGTGAACTGGGTATGTTCTGTCCCAGCTCGATAAGACCTCCATTCAGACGACGGGGCGTACTGCTTATGAGTCTCCTAATGGTAATTTTGAGGATTCTGGGTCATCCTGCTCGAGCGTCGTCGGCAGACGATTCTGGTGAGGTCACAAAATACTGACTTAATGTCGAAGATGTATTTACCTGTTCGAAACTTTGAAATAAATGTCCAAGATAATACCACTCTGAAAAATAACAATTTAAGTCCAAGATTTAAAATAATTACAGTATTTAAGAATTGCCATATTGAAACAGTTTTAGATTTTATCAATTTGAGATTACATAAATGTACAATACACGACTGTGGTATACGCAGGTCACTTTTGTTGACGTTTCAAATCAACGAATCGGGCGATAGGAGTCATTTTGCAAAACGTTAAGTTAATATGTAATGACATGGAGTGTAATGCATCATACGCACCCACCAAATTTCCTGCTGAACCTGGTTTGAAGTACATTTCGTGTATCAAACAGCCTTTGACGTATCGATTTATTTCAAAATTTAAAGATAGGCTACCTGCAAGATAGAGGCAGTACGTGTGTTCGGAAACATGTTTTTTGAAATCCAGACCAGATTAGATGTGCAGATTAGACGAGGTATAGTGTCCGGTGCGGTGTACGGTGCAGAATAATCCATACAAACGAAAATAAAACGAGTAAACACACGAGGTACGGGTCCGAAACGCGATTCGTTTCTACTGTATAGATAATCCCACACCGGAAACCACACCTCCTCTATTCGTGCCTTAAGGTAACAGACGAAACAACGAGCCTTACTTAGTTAACAAAATCAAATCACGAACTTAGTTGACCGCCACTTACAAGGCGTGGATTAACCCAAACTGTTTTTCCAATGGTGGTTAACTGTGGTCGAGTTAGAACTAACACTGTTTTGAAAGCCATTGAATAGTTCGTAAAAGGTCTCTATCTTATCTAAGATCACGTGATGATAATATTGAAATGAGGTGCGTTTCAATCGCTTTGAGAATTAACACCTTGAAACGATTTACTTCGGAAATAAAATGATTAAAACAAAGTCAACTAAAATGACACGAAACTTGTGTTTTTGGCTTATATTGTTGCTGCTAGACTTTTTTTCGCGTCAGCTTACGTGACCAAAGAATTATCAAAAGGGAAAGCGCAGATCAAATTTTCAGTTTGATATTATTTTTTCTGTAAGGTTAGGTTTCGGGTTAGGGTGCTATGGGTGTCTGTAAGAAACTCTTGATACAACAGTTCAATAGTTTCGTCCCTAATATTAATCGATTGATGGTTCAGTTCTCGACCAATTTGATTCATTGAAAGGAAATAGAGCTAAAAAATTTAAATAGCTTGTACATTTAACACAATCGCACGAAGGGGGTATGCAATTTAATGAAATTTAAAATACCATTTGGTTTCTTTTCTTCTGATATCATATTGGGATTAGATTTGGGGGTATGCGGCACAATAAGGTAGGGAATAAGTTTCAATTACGGAAATATATAGAAGCTGTGTCGTCTTTACTGCTTCGGATAGGATTTATAAATCACTTTATAAACGGCAATAATAAAAAGACTCACAGCTTTTAATTAAATTTCAACGTAAGGTTTTTTCAATTTAAAATGCATAACAGGATATAAGCCAGTGGAAGTAGAAAGCTCGCCGCAGTCATAGTTGTCGGGGACGAGTTTTCTTCGTGTTCTTTTGTTCGATGATCTTCTGAGATTAGTTGTTCATGACCATGTTCTTTGACCTGCTGATCTTTCAAATATTCTGCTGCTCCAAGTTCATCCGGAGTCTGTTCACCCCACTGTTCCTCTGATAACCGATTTTCTGGTTCTTTTTCTAAATCTTCTTGTTCCTGTTCTGAGTTTATTTTGCTCTCCTCTGAACTCTGTTGTGAACTAAGATCGCTTGCGTCTGAACTCTGTTGTGAACTAAGATCGCTTGCCTCTGAACTAAGATCGCTCTCCTCTGAACTCTGTTGTGAACTAAGGTCGCTTGCCTCTGAACTCTGTTGTGAATCCGTAAGTTCGCTTGGTTCATCATTTATTAATCCGAGTTCATTAACTATCTCTCCCTCAGAAAGTATTTCTATTACTATATCAGCTTCTTCAAGCGAGTGCTCCTGTTCAATGGATCCTTTCTCCTTCTGAAAACTCTCTTTCACTTCCAATTCTTTGGGTTTTGATTTGGAATGTCTTTCACAAATAAATTTGTACCTCATTGATCGGCTTTCGACCCTTTCTTCAATATCTTTCCCATCTATTGACATTACCATAGCGAAATCTTTGGGATCAAACCGATGGAACCAAATGCTGTTTTCATCTAGATCATAACTACTTGTCCAATACTTAGTGTTTTCTGAAAAATAAAACAGGCCTCGCCATTATTGCAGAGAAGTAGTTTAGTTGAAGACGTGTGGTTTGACACTCAAACTTGTAGTATCGTCTTTCAAATAATAAGTAAAAATTGAGAACTCAAAATATTTTGCCAACAAAGAAACAAACCTATCATTTTCTTATTCTTCATATTCTTTAACATCTTCTCTAGTGTCTTTTTGGTGCCTCTAATCAAATGGCTTCCTTGGTTTCGACACTTTCGGTCAGCTGTCTCATAATCGGTGGCATAATGATACGTTTTGAGACAAACGTTATCAAACTGTTTGAATCCTCGAACACAATCTACCAACATGAGACACAAACATTTTAATATACGAGTGCATAGAAATTTTTTAAATTGCATCAGGCGGTTTAAAAAGCTCACAAATGTTCTAAGCAGGATATTTGGTATTAATGCATACAAATCGGATGAAAATTCTAGCTTATATCGGGCTGACAAAAAAATGACAGTATGCTTCCATTTTCCTTTGAAAATATCAACATATATGTGTTTTACGCCCTACTCTTCTGCACCTAATTAGGCTAATGAAGACGGACCGTATATTAATTTGGAGTCTTTACTTGTATTCGATTCGATTCACAAAAAAAACAAGATTTTCCACGTTACCAGAATGTTTGTACGAATTATTTCCACTGTAAGCTACACAGAGTAAGCCAAGACTTGCCAATACTTGCCAAAACAACATTTTCCAGTCCGGCTTTTAGACACAGCATTAAAACCAACTGACTGAGTCAAGTCAAAATTGTGATACCAGGCAACCGCTTTGAAATAATATTGTAACACGTTTTTCTGTGCTCATTGTTTTTGTGCATCATACGAATCCTACATTCCTCAATTAATTAACCTATAAATATAACTTCATATTGACTGCTGTGGGCAGACTTATAAAATATGAACTCAATATAATATTGTGAAGAGGGCTGGTAGCAGTGACGTGGCCAGCTTTCCGAGACTAGGGTTACAGATAGGGGATATACTTAATTAATGGGGTGCAACTGTCGAGGTAGAAGTGCAAAATGCGGCAGATATGATAGGTGCAAGCCACTCAAGAAAAATCTGAACGAGTTTTCCCTCACGAAATTTTTCCCATTATTGATTTTTGTATTCTGATATATATCTTGCCACAAAAACGTACTAAAATCATTTTTCAATTTTGTTAGAAGTGGGGATACAAACCCTTTTTTAGAGGGGGTATGGTAAGGATTAGATCCAGGCCCTTTCTAACATTCTAGAGTGAATTCATCACTTATTATGGTGGGAGTCTAAATATTTTCTTAAAAATATATTATTTAAATCTACTCCATGAAATTTAAGCTCAGCTTAATGATGCTTAGGATAGAATAAGCTAAATTTGCAAGAAGCTTAAAATTTCAAATATTTTATTTGTTTCTTGAAATGCATGGTAACACATCTTATACATAAATCAACTTGGAGTATCATTATTGTTCTGTTCATCATTAATTACATCATTATCATCATTGTCATTATCATTATTATCAGTTTTGTCTTCTTCCATTTCTGTTTGATCACTAATAGCGTCACTATCTCTAACTGTTTTAAGATATTTTACATTGGCTGCCTTTCTTTCAGCTTTTAAAGTAGCAACATTCTTTTCTACAATTAGAATATTTTAACATTTATTATCGAAGTGGTCTTTAAAGAGATATATAATTAAATATAACGGAGAGAAACAGAAATGGCTTTAAATTCTGTTAGTGATTCTACACATGTTCAGGTTTGAAAGGAACAGGCTCGCTATTTGTCTGGTCTGATTTGATGTCTTGAAAATACATGAATAGTCTTCAGAAATATTAGACATGTAAGTAGTATAAGAGTATATAGATAGGGGGCACTTTTTATAATTTAAAAAAAAAAAATCACTTTTTTCCTAACGTCAAAAAGTGATTTTTTTTTATAAATCATAAAAAACAAACAAACAACCCCACCAGGCACGCGGTTAATAAATCAGGAGTCTATAGGGGTACACGTTTACCAACCCCCAAGCGCCCCAGGCCAATAATATCTTCAAATTAACGCATTTAAAAACAGAATGAGTTTAATTTTAAAACACGAACACAAATTCGAAGGAGATGGTTTCTTCTCAGCTCTATCATCTCTCATCCCAAAAGTAGCCAACTTTGTCTCAAACAACAAATCCCTCATTTCCTCAGAAGCGCAAGCTCTTGGGTCTGTAGCAAAAGCGTGAGTAAATATAAGCGAAACAGTGAAAAGATCTAACGAGTTGAAAGAATTACAACATATAAGAGAAATGCGAAATAAAAGATTAGAAAACAAAAAAGGCAATTGTTTTAAAATTATTGGATAAAAAATGTCAATGATAATTGCTCAAACTCCTAAAACTTATTTCGGTTCTGACATTCAAAAATCATTAGGTTCTCTTCCTGAATTTCCATGGGCAAAATACCCCGGAGAAAGACATCTTCCCGGTCATAATTACACTGGTCCAGGTACAAGGTTAGATCTACGATTAGACCAAAACGATAAACCAAAACCAGGTGAAGAACCCGTCAAAAGAGTTGACGCCGCTGCACTTAAACACGATATTTTATACAGAAATAAATACATAACATCCAGACACGAAGCAGACAAACAAATGATAATCGAACTTGAAAATATTCCAAATCCAACTTTTAAAGAGAGAATTCAAAGAGCATTAATTAATTTAGAAAAAACAAACATTTTTTTAACTGTTTTTTGTTTACTTCAAAGTAAAATACCAACCAGTTTATACACGGTTAGCTTTTCTAGAGTATTATTGATTTAATAATTACCTTTAACGCTCGGTAACAATCAGTCGTCTAGACTATTGTTGACTGGATATACGTCACTAAGTAACAGGTGGTTATATTAACATATAACATTCCGCCCATGCCACGTCGGCATAGACAGACTAAACTCTCAACTATTAACACTGTCTCAATTTTGTTACGCTGGAAGAAAAGAATGTTCTTTGTTTGATTTAGTCATAAGACTAGAGGGTGGAATTAAGATGATATGTTATTTGTTGTTTTTCGAAATATCAATTTTGTTCTATTCCAGACACAAGTTTAATAGATGTCAACATATCACGAAGAATATTAAAACCATCGCAGGCAGTGGGGGATACTACCAAACTCTGTGACAAATATCCGAGGTTTCAAAATTGTTGATACAGATTTCGAAAATAGAACAAGTGCTGAAGAACAAGCGTTTTGGAAAAGGATGAAATTCTATAGGAGCGGTCGTAACCCTTGACCCTTGAACTATGACTGGTGATAGTGTAAGAGGGGAGATAACTCTGAAGTATATCTAGCGATTCTATAGGAGCGGTCGTAACCCTTGACCCTTGAACTATGACTGGTAATATTGTAAGAGGGGAGATAACTCTGAAGTATATCTAGCGATTCTATAGGAGGTCGTAACCCTTGACCCTTGAACTATGACTGGCAATAGTGTAAGAGGGGAGATAACTCTGAAGTATATCTAGCGATTCTATAGGAGCGGTCATAACCCTTGACCCGTGAACTATGACTGGCAATAGTGTAAGAGGGGAGATAACTCTGAAGTGTTAGATCCGATCTTTCAATTATATGATCCAATTCGTTATTTGTTTAATAAGAAAAAAGAGGATTACATTATCACATCACCAACCGTAGGCTCTAGGTCTCAACTAAATGATGGGGGTAGGGTCACTTTCGAGATTAATTCATTATCGAATTGGTTGCTTCTGTCTGATGCCTATTTCAGATGCGATTTCAAAATCAAAGACGGAACTCCCAATGAGAATCGTGTACCACAAACCAACACAACGTTAGAAAACAATTTCTTCCCATCTTTATTTACTGAAATGGTTTTGGAAGCTGGTTCAAAATAATAGAAACCATTAAACACCCTAGGGAATTTGTTGAAAACAGTTCTATATCCCAAAAACTACGATTCAGTCTCAGACTGGATACCCGATGTTGGCGATGGAAGAGTTTTAGAAGTACCGATAAGAAATGTTCCAAATGATTCAAATGAAGATAGAATGAGAGCTATTGATCGAAACACAATAGAAAGAGTAGGACGAGCAGGTAATCATGGATTTGAAAAACGAGTACTTTAGTACAATAATGTTGTTGAGAATAATAGGTTTGGTAATTACGTAATTTATTCGGTCTGTTGGAACACAGAAAAGTTTCCATAGGGTTACCATATAAAATTCATCTACAAAGAGAAATCAATGATAAGATATTATTTGGAGAGAATGCTTCAGATGCAAAATTAGAAATAACGAATCTTCAACTTTACATACCCGTAATAACACCATCAATTGAAGTAGAAACGAGAATATTCAACTCAATAATTAAAGATATTGAAATAGCTTTTCTTCTAGGTAGTATAACTTTAACTGGAGAATCCACTACATGGCCAATCACTAACACTATTAAACCAGCAAGATATTTAATAGTTGGTTTCAAGAACTTACCAGATTCTCAAACGAATAACAATAATATCTTTAGAGTAGCAATGAACGAAACTCAAGATCCTATAATCCGTAAAGTTCAAGTAAGATTAAACAACGATAATTATCCTAACCAACCTTTAACAATTAACCCATCCACAAAGGATTATAATGAATTGTATAGAAACTATAAAAATATGTGTGAATTATTTGGAAATCCACCTCAGTTTGAATATGTAGATTTTGCAATTAATCACCCAATCTTCTGTTTTGATTTATCAGCTCATCAAGAAGATCTTTTCAAAACAGGGGTGAATATAAATATTCATATTGAAAAACACACGAGGAGATGTAACCGGTTATTGTTTATTATTGGAAGAAGCAAAACATTTATTAAAATATCCGACAGACGGATGATTCGTATAGAATAATCATTTAAATTACCCTCTTAAAAATGAAACTGGAAACTTTAGTAAAAAGAATAATAGAAGCTATCGAAACGGAATCACCAACTACAATAACTTACAATGGTAAAAGGATTAAAATATCTAAAAAAAATATCGATAAATATTTTCTAGTAACCCAATGCTCATGTTTATATGTGGTAGCTCTGGGAAAACCTATATGACCTTTAACATGTTGACAACACCAAAACTTTTAGATTTCGATTCATTATATATCTACACAACACCACCAGAGCAATCCCATTATCAATTCCTCAAAGCTTTAGAATATACACCAAAGAAAGACGTTCAAGACATATTTAAATATTATGAAGGCAACGATGAGATAGAAATAAAAGATATCTTAGATACATATATAAAAGAAAAGAATCCATCTTTCAATCCAACGGACATAAATCTTTTTCTTACGAAAAATGTTAATGATTTAGATTTGTCTAAAATTGATAGTGAGCGAAAGAACTTAATAGTGTTTGACGACAGTGTAGCACAAAGAAATCAAGCTGTTCAACAAGAATTCTTCACGAAGGGAGTACATCACAACTGTCACTGCATATACCAATCCCAATCTTTCTACGGTATGGATGCAATGTTCATCAGAAATGCAAATTGTTTTTTATTATTCGAATTGAACGGCAAAGATTTATCTCAAATTATTCAGTCAATTAATCACGGAATAGATAGAGATACATTCAAAAAGGATTGTAAAGCACAATGGAGAAACCCAGATGATTATGGATATATATTCGTTAATACTAGAAAACCTGCAGGTGAAAGAGTTATGACAAATATGTGTTAATTTCATTTCTTTAAAAATGGGTGATTGGAATAATCTTATAAAAAGATTTAGAATAAGATTTAATGCTAATTTACCGCAATACAAAATCGATACAAAAGACTATATATTTACATAAACGAATATCTATCTGAATATGGAGGAAGTACAAATGGTAAAAACAATATTGAATCTAAACAAAATAAAATTGATATTGAGAAATAAGAGTCAAGTTGATTTCAACGTAGAAAATTCTTTGAATACTTTATTAGGATTTGATAAGGAAAATTGATATTGAGAAATAAGAGTCAAGTTGATTTCAACGTAGAAAATTCTTTGAATACTTTATTAGGATTTGATAAGGAAAATTGATATTGAGAAATAAGAGTCAAGTTGATTTCAACGTAGAAAATTCTTTGAATACTTTACTAGGATTTGATAAGGAAAATTGATATTGAGAAATAAGAGTCAAGTTGATTTCAACGTAGAAAATTCTTTGAATACTTTATTAGGATTTGATAAGGAAATATACACGCAATCCACTTTAGCGCCGCATAAAGCTAATATCGAGAATGATATCGACGTCATTGATATTCACTGTAATTTAATAAACGGTGGATTTTTCAATAAACACAAACGTCAAATTATTTACAGTATTTCAACATTCACTGTACCGATTGGATATAGAATTATAGAGAAACCATTTCAAACAACATATTTACCACTTAATTCGTTCATGATTAAAAATATAAATCTGGAAATCAAAGATGGTAAAAATAGGTTTATTGATTTTGGTAACGAGGAATTCAACTACTTCAACTTAATTTAAAACAAAAGAACTAAATATATTGAGTAATTAATCACTCTTCATTCTCTTCTTGAATATATAGGTAATCGAAATCATCAAAACTATACTCATCTTTATTAATATAAGGAAACATAATCCCTCCACTGTTTGGTGGTTTTCTCTTTACAAGATTCAAATAACTTGTAAAAACTTTCTTTTGTTTATCACCATCCTTTGGAATAACTACTCCATTCGTGAAACTCCTTTCTCATCTTTTATTTAATTCATTCGACACATCATGTCCACTAGCCAACCGAATATAATCTTCTACACTTGTCTTATTATTAGAATAACCCTTAAACGTTTTCTTTTCTTTTAAAACGCCATCAGAAGTTAGAATGATATTATATTTGACTTTTGGCAGCTAAATATAAACCAAATATGATTCCACCATCGCCATAATCATTCTTGCCTTTACAATATTCATTTTCAGATACCAACCCAGCTCGATTTAATTTATCCCAATTTCGAGATGAAATGTATAAACTATCAGTATCGGTATAGTATATTTCAGGTTTATAAAATCCATTTATTACATGAATAAAATTATTCATTATTTTTTTACTGTTAGTCCTGTAGATTTAGTTGAGTGATCTTCAGCAGTAATCTCTTTTTCTTCAATTTCTGTCTCAACGAAATATTGAGTATCATTTATTTTTTCATAGTTTTTAACATGTGAGTCGAAGTTAGCCTGAAAAGTTACTTCATTCCATAAATGATTTCTCGTGTTTCTATCCTTCTGAATAGATTTACCATATAAGGAATTGCCTAATAATTTCATGCAATAACTACCCACAATACCACCTTCTCGTTTATATTTATTTCTAAGATCTCTTAAAATTAAAATATAATCTCTATATGGTGGAGTTTTAAAATTTTCTTCCTATACTATACCATCTAATATTCTAATAATTCGTCCACCGGCTTTAACTATTTCTTGAATATCGACCGATGTTAAAACACCTGAACAGAAACCATTTCTAATGATTTTACCCTTTTTCCTTCTTTATTCGTGAAAGTGATATTATCTTTGGCTGGTATCGGTTGGAAGAACATGTTTTTGGGATAGTCAAACCACACTGTTAAAATAGCTGTTCTAGGTCTAAATTTCTGTTCATTGAAGAGTTTTACAATTTGTCTTTCTGCTTCACTGTCTAAATCCGACATTGCTGAAGCGTATAAACCATTAGCATCAAATGCCATTAGTTTATTGCAGTTTATTTTTTTAAGTTTTGAATTAACTTCTGTTTTGTCTTTTGTGCTCGCGCTTTATTCTTTGAATAAATCAATTATGTTATCTCTTCTTGAATTATAACTTGGTGTTTCACTTTGTGAAATACTTTCAGTATCACTTGGTGTTTCACTTTGTGAAATACTTTCAGTATCACTTGGTGTTTCACTTTGTGAAATAAAATCCTTTAATACATTACAAATTTCATCCATTTCAAACAACTTCCAAGACATAACGTATCTCTTTTTGCATATGGTTCCCATTCGTGTCTTAAAGATTCCCAGTTATCTTTGGTGTATTTTGCAACATTGATATCAGTGATCTTTCTCAAATTCATTGGTAGATTAGATGAATTACCCCATGCCGCTAAACTAGATGTTTCATGTTGATAGGAACATGTGAAATTAATATGTTGTAAATAATTATTATTGCTTGTTATTTCTTTCTGTCTTTTCCATTTTTCTGTAAATCTTCATCTGTGTATGTATTAGATAAAGGTAATTCCTCTGGGTGTTTTTAAGGGGCATTGAGTTATTTTTTTTATATTTTTAAGCACGATCCAGTTATCAAAATTGCTACCGTTATGAGAAATTAATATTAATCTCTTTCTATCATATTGACCTAAATATTTCAACATTTGATCTATACAACCTGTACCTACAAATATTTCTACTATATTCATTAGTTTATCATAAAATTCTTCTGGAACATTATTTGTAGGATTTAAATCTGGAAAGAGATTATTTATTCTGTCTAAAATTTTCTTAGTTTTTCTAAATTAATTAACGTACATGCATACGGAATTGCTTTACGTGTTTCACTTTCTGAATACGTTTCACAATCCCAAGCAAATAACCCAGCATCACTTATACTTGAAAACACGTTTAGTTTCAGAGGTGAAATCTGTGTTACTGCGTTATCGTCTCTACACGTTTTCCATACTTGTTCATAATTATCTTTTATTTCTTTAATACACAAACTTTTTTTTATTTCTTCTTATAAGACAGAAATGTGAGTTGTGTAAATATAAAACTCAATCTAATTCCTCTTTTACAATTGTGGGGCGCAAATTTCTATTATTATGAGTATAAATTTGAAATGAAATATCATATTTCTTATTGAATTCATTAATTCTAGCAGATGTCATCACTCCTTTTCTATTTGCTTGTGAGAAACCATTGATGAAATTTTGAAATTCATTTGTTAAATCTTTGTTTAAAACATAGTTTACACATTTGATAAAACAGTTACCATCTGCTGGTATGTAACAATTTTCACCTATATATTCATTTTCTTCCATCTTTTTGATCTTTTAATTTCTTTGAAATTGTCTTTAAGTAAAAAGATACTTCCTGTAAAGTACCAATCAGAAGGGTCAGATTTTTCTTCCATATTTCTAAAGATAGTATGAAAAGTTTTGGCATTAAAACTAAGAAGTTTCATGAATTGTTTGTGCTTTCCATCTTGAAATATCTCTCCATCTATTTCAATTTGTCCTTTAAATGTTAAAAATTTATCAGAAATATTCTTGATATTTGAAAATAACACGTTTTCTATGAATGTTTCATCATCATTAATTTCAATTGATTCATTCACATTTCTTAGTGTGTATAAAAAACTAGTATTAACAAACTATAACTTTACATATTCAAAGTCTGATGTTCTTAAAAACGTATAATTTTTTACTGTTTCCACTTCTTGCGGAGTTGGATTTCTAATAATGCTCATCGATGGTGAGCTTTCTGTCTGTAATATTATATCAAAATCACCTATTGAAAGAATATCTTTGTCATCGTCTGGTATTATTGACATTCTAAAGGTGTCTATATATTTTCTATTTGTTTTAATTTCATACATGTGATTAGCCTTGTTGTTTTCATCGTTAACTTCCAAATCTTTATTTTCAACATATTCACCATCTTTGATAAATTCGAAAATCTTACGAGCGTTAAAATAGTGAGATGGATGAGAGAAGAAGATTGAATCGATTTTAACTTTTACAGGAAAAAGAATTTCAATTAGAGATTTACCTCAGAAATTAAAGTTTCCTGAATCATCAAACATGTTTTTAACGTTTCCACTTTTATATGAAAATACTTTTATTTTTAATATAAATCCATATCCTTCCAACTGATATGTTGTTTCACCTGTAGGAATACGTTCAGTATTTCTCACACGGAAAACTGGAATATTGAAATAATATGATTTTTTATTTTCCTTGAGATGTTTTTCTAATGCGGCTATATTTTTTCCTGTTTTAAAACTTCGTTATTAATAGTAGTTATCTGATGTTGAATCTCACTATCATAAATATTTGATTAATATTTGTTTGTTCTTTTTGTAATTCAGTTTTAAATTTAGTTTCTAGAGCAGTTGTTTCCTGTTGCCATTTGTGTTCACTTATACCAGGTTTAATATTATCTATTAATTGTTTAAGATCTATTTTTTGTTTTGTTATCTTATCTAAATTAGATATTAATGATTTTAAATTTTGAAATTGAGTTTTATCTACTACATTTAGAAGTTGTTGTTTAATAGCATCTATTTCACTATCATCATTGAGTTTGGTTTCTAATTCAGTTAATTTATCTTCACTTATACCTGGTTTAATATTATCTATTAATTGTTTAAGATCTATTTTTTGTTTTGTTATCTTATCATCTAATTTAGATATTAATGAACTTAAAGGTTGTAATTGAGTTTTATCTACTAGATTGTCTAATTGTTGTTTAATAGCATCTATTTCACTATTATCATTGAGTTTGGTTTCTAATGCTGCTAATTCATCTCCATTCATACCTGGAATAATATTATCTATTAATTGTTTAAGGTCTATTTTTGTTTTGTTATCTTATCATCTAATTTAGATATTAATGATTTTAAATTTTCTAATTGAGTTTTATCTGCTAGATCGAGTAATTGTTTTTGAATAGCGACTATTTCACTATTATCATTAAGTTTAGTTTCTTATTCAGTTAATTTTTCTTCAATTATACCTGGTTTAATATTATCTATTAGTTGTTTAAGGTCCATTTTTTGTTTTGTTATCTTATCTAATTTAGATATTAATGATTTTAAATTTTGTAATTGAGTTTTATCTGCTAGATCGAGTAATTGTTTTTGAATAGCGACTATTTCACTATTATCATTAAGTTTAGTTTCTTATTCAGTTAATTTTTCTTCACTTATACCTGGTTTAATATTATCTATTAATTGTTTAAGGTCTATTTTTCGTTTTGCTATCGCATCATCTAATTTAGATATTAATGATTTCAAATTTTGAATTTGAGTTTTATCTACTACATTTTGTTGTTGTTTAATACCAACTATTTGTTTTTGTATTTCACCATTACCAATAAGTTTAGTTTCTAATGTTGTTAATTTATCTTAACTTATTCCTGGATTAATATTGGCTATTAGTTGTTTAAGATCTATTTTTTGTTTTGTAATCTTATCATCTAAATTAGATATTAATGAACTTAAAGGTTGTAATTGAGATTTATCTACTACATTTAGAAGTTGTTCTTCAATAAAACTTTTTAAACTTGTTACTTCTTGTTGTAGTTTAGTATCATCAATAAAATCTTTATTATTTATTTGTCGTTTGAAGTATCTTTTCACATCGCCTATTCTTTCTTTTAAATGTTCTTTATCTACTTCAATTAAATTTAATTGATCCATTAAATATTTCTTGTGAACAGCATCATAATCATTTTCTGGTAACTTTAAATTAGTTATGGTAAAATTATTCATATCTAAATCACCTTGAAGGGTGTCTTCAATTTGTTTCACAAAATAAGGTTTTGCTTTATTTATCCATGCTGTTGTGATAGGTTTTTTAGTATCTAAAGGTAAAGAACCTAATCCAAATTTATTCGCCATTTTTATTAAGTTAAATTTATTACAATTTCTTCAAATTGTTTTCCTAAACTCAACTGATATAAAACCCAAAGTGAAAGCTTTCCACAAAATTTTTGTCCCGATGTTTGAATTTGAAATGTTAAACATTTGATTGGTTGATTAGTCAATTTCACTAATTGCATTATCTCTTCAGTTGGTTCTAATCCAAAAGAATCAAAGAAATAAAAGTTATTTAAAGAGTCTTTGTATAAAGCAGAATGATGAACACCGGTTTGATCTGAAGTATTTATATTTGTTATCGCATAAAATTTACCTTTCTTATCCTTGAGATAATTTATTTCATCTCTAATACAATAATAAAACGGTGATATATTTAACTCATTTGCCCATCTCATA